GCCCGTAGCACGGTGGGGCTTAGTCTGCAGTGAGACGTTGCCCGTTAGAGGTGCTTCAAAATAAGCTCGTCCGCTGGAAATGAGGAAATAATGGTCACTGCTGAGTGTTCTTCTTTGGGTATCTTTTTTTGTTTGTTTGTTTTCTTCTATTGCTGAAGTGCCTTTTGTCTCAGTAACCTAGGGGTTACTGTATGCCCTCAGCTGAGTGCTGGCGCAAGTGTTTGCAGAGCCGGGACCGAACTGGGCAGCACTGCCCCGAGCAGGACACCGCGCTGAGGGGGGGTCACCAGATCTTGGCCCATCTCCTGTAGAAAGTGTAGAAAATAGTAGCGTAGTGCTAGTGTGCCTAGGTAAGGTGTCTTCAGGGGCACTAGAGTAATTCAGGTAGCCACTAATCTGTCTTTGAGGAGCCCTGGGACTGTGGGTGGACTACTTACTTAGCCAGCATTGTTCCCTCAGAACACTGACCTTCTCCTAGATTGAGCGCTCCTTCACTGAACATCAAAGTAGGAAGTACTGAGTGGGGAAAGAGCTGTTTTCTTCTCATCCACTATTTTCTTGGATAATGTGTTCATTTAACTTGAAATAGCAAATATTTCTTTACAGAATGTGTCTATTGTTACTTGAACTACTTTCAAATACATTTGAGATTCTATATTTAGAAGTGTAAAGTGTTAAATTTTTAAGTAATCTCAAGGAAACCATGCTGTAGAAAATGTATGGTGGGGTTGGTTTGTTTCTGGTTTTTTTTTAGGCTACATTTCCTGGTCTCTTTACCATGCACTGCCACCGATGATCTATTACTTCCCACTTCAAACACTGGCACTCACAGGTCTAGAAGTTTTTGCTGTTGCCTTCTTTTCTCCAGTGTTATTGATAATTGACCCTTTTTGGAGGTTGGCTAACAATAAGTACATCCTAGCCCTTCTGAGACTGGCTATGGTTGGTAAGTATGCACTGCAGTGAGGTATAAATTCCACCTTGATATCAAAGCATAAGAATAAATGTTCCGAATTGCTCTCCCAGACTCATGATTTTGTTCTTCTCTCAGATGTGGTCAGAGGAATATTGTTTGCATCCATTGTGTTGTTTTTTTAGGCCAGTACTGCATAATTAAAGGCAAATCTAATTTCGTTTTTATTTCTAGAAGCTTTAAATTTAGTGCAAATCATGTTCAATAAGAAGACTGTTTTCAGTATTGCACAGACAACAGTTTTTTGTTGTATAGCAGTTTTGTGTCTGTGACAATGGGGAGGGATGCAATGCTACAAAGCAACTTGGGGCTATTATTAACAATCTGCTGTGAGTGAAATGTTCTTTTTGGTAACTTCGTTTCTGAGACAGTTTTTTCTTTTAAGATTTTTTTAAAATTTAAATCTATTTATATGCCTGTAGTGTATTGATGGAGTTATAGGCTCATCCTAAATGTGAGATGGCTCCCATACTGTCAGTTACACAGGAAGAAAGTTTGATCTTAAATTCAAGATAAAGCTGCCTCACTACACTTTCCACATGCTCTTCCCTAAGCCAAGACTTGCTGAGATTCCCTCTTTAGTCTTTTTAAATCTTGACTCTTGCTGATTTTTCTGAAAGTTTGTTGGGAAAATGTTTGGCAGCTACAGCCACATTCAGAAGCAAGTTATTGCTATTGAATTTGCAACACCTGGATGAACTTCAAAGAAATAAGTGTCTCCATCCTGTGTAGAGGGAAGATGCTGCTGCAAAGTGGTGTGTTTCAGAAGTAGTGGTTCCTGGCTTCTCCTTTGTCAGTTTAAGATGATAATCAGAGAATCACTTTCCATATAGTTTTCCTCTTTTACTGTTAAAAGACAGAACAGGACCATTTTGCTTACTTCCCCTGTATTATTTATTTTTAAAATAATTCTTGATCCTTATCTGTAGGAAGAGACTAGAACTGAACGCAGTTTCTTGACATAATCAGTTTAGATTAATAAATTTACCATATTCTTTTCTTTTTCTACTCTTTCTATCATATCTGTCCTAATACTTTTTTTTAAATAAGCTTTTCACTCAGCAGAACGTTCCACTTCAGCTTCCTGCAGCAGTGTATTGCTTTCTACAAGATCTGCTAATTTAGAAACTAGGAATGAGTGTAAGCATTTCAAATTGTACTCTGTCTTCCATCAGGTATCACAGTAACACAAAATTTGCCATATTTATTTAACATTAGTCCTTCAGATCATCTTGCTGTGTTTACTAGTTCACTTTACCAAAAGATAAAGGAATTGCTTAAACGTGTATAATTTTTGTTATGCTAAGTAAAGAAGCCGTGACAGGTTATAGTAGTGTGTAAGGTCTGTTGGTTTACGCCTCTTTGCTTTGCCTGCATTGCAAGCTCCTGAAGATATTAACTACAAACAAAATGCTAGCACCCTCAGTAGTAATCTGGGGAAAAGATGTGTTAATGGAGGTGGTTATAGAAGGAGCCAGAGCATGGGGAGACTGAAGCTGTGCGCATCCTCAGCCTGAGCTAACCTGAGTACTGCTGTATGCAGATACGATCTCCCCTTCATTCCTGCCTGAACAGGAGCTGTTCTCTCAGTGACCATATCCCCTTGTTGTTTCCATCTCTCAAACACTCTTATTGTGTACACCTCTTGACAAGTCTACACTGTATTCTATCCCAGCTCTACTGTAATTGCTCTGTGTTCTCCTTGTCTGATGCTCGCTCTCTCTCTCTCTCCCTCCTTGCCCTCCCTACTGTAGATTCTCATGTTATCTAGATGCCCATGCATAGGCAGCACTGGTCTTTAGGACTTTTCCATATCTATCTTTTGGCTTGGCTCTCATCCCTTCAGTCTCTCTTTTAAATTATTTCTGTCTTATCATGCTGCGCTGCTGTTTCTCCTATTCCTCAATTCTTCCTGCTTTCTTTCCTTCTACATTTCTTCCTTTTTTCTCCTTTTGATCTTTTTCTGTTCTCAGAAAGGCCATGGCAAAATCAGGCAGAACAATCTACCCCATGCATGCTCCACCTCATTCCACTGGAAATATTCAGTCTTCAATTTCACAATCAAGAAATCTGTAAATTTTTCACGCTTAGCTAAAACCAGAATATTTGAGTTGGGGTTTTTTTGTTGTTGGTTTGTTGTTTGGGGTTTGTTTTTTTTGAGGTTGGAGGTGTTTGTTAAATGGAAAAGGCTCTTCCCTTATTCATCTTTCTTTTTGCCTTTTCAGGAAGCTTTATTTTCTCCAAAACTTTTGTTTTAATTTCTATATCCTTTCATACTACTTGATTTTGTGTTCCACTTAAAAAAAACAAACCATCCAACCAACCAACAACTGCTCTGTAGTAGTGTCCATTTGAATCTATGTATTCAGAAAATATGCAGTAAATTTGTGTGTTTGGATAGATATATTTACTTTTTGGGAGTACTTGCTCAGCAACAAAAGGTGTGTCTGCTGTAAGTAGGCAAACCCACGCTAGCTTTAATCTGGCTAGCACAAGTGATGAAATATTTGAAGAGGCAGAGTTGCAGATTTCATCACTATTTAGTGACAGAAATCTGTGTGCGTTGTGCATGCAAACTCTACTAAAGTCCATACAAGTACATCATCACTACACATTGATTTCATTTTACCATCTTTGCTCTTAGCTTTGCACCTTTTACTCTGAACAAAGTGAGCAGATAGACAGTTGGAGGATTCCTAGGATGCATTGCCAGAATCAGCAGCTCCATTTCTGACCTCCCTTTCTTAATGTCTCTTCAAGTTTGACTCATACCCACTTAGTAAATGGCTGGCAGCAAAACAGGGTTGCTTCTCCTGCTGTTTGTCATTGGTCCTGGGCCAGAATTTGCCACATTGACTGAAGTTGTGAGAAAGTTTGTGACCCACAGTCACTTGACTTGGGAACCTGCTAGCAGAGTTTAAGACTGCTGATAAAAGTGAGGTCGCTGTGGCGTGGGAAACAGCACATGCACAGTCTCTTTCAGGGACTGGGGGAGTGATGATACCCAGTAACAAGATGGAACAGGCTGCTAATTATCACTCCCAGACCAGATTCAGGGCCAGAGAAAGCCTTGTTCACACTCGATAAGGCAATTGCCTACTAATCCTTGTGCAATGCATAGTGATGGCTCCTTTCTGGAAAGGATATGGCTTTTGAGTTATAGGAGTACACTGTGGCAAAAACCATATCCTTTTTAGAAAGATACACCATACATAAAGTTTTATGGCTTTTGAGTTATATAAGTGCACTGTTCAGGAATATCTGTATGCTTAGATATTTTATCCATATATCCTATTTCTGGAATCAATGACCATAAGCATTTAAATTAAAGCAGTTGCTGCAGTCTTGGATAATTGCTTAATGTTATTTTTTTCCTGAAAATGGTAATTACTACAGTGTCATATATACCCAGTTTCTATCTATACTTACATTTCTTTAATTTGTTTAAAAATGTATAGTGTAATGTGTTTTAAGATGAATGATGTAGCTGTTCAAATTACAGACAAAACTGAATGCACAGGAAATTCTTATTACCTGATCTCTATTGCCCATTAAAGCAACCTCTGTGTGTGTGTGGTTTTTTTGTAGGAAGCTTAGCATCGTACCAGGCACCAAATGCTACAATTAGACTATTCGTCTTGGCTACAGGTGTTTCCTCCTCATTGCTGGTTCAAACAGTAACATGGTGGTCAGGAAACAGTTTTCAAAGGTATTTTCTTATACTTATGGGATTGTAACTGATATTTCTTTATGTGAAAAGGTATTTTCTTTTTCTGCCCCCCCTCCCCCCACCCCCCAAAACTTAAGATTTTTTTTTTCTCAAATGCATCAGTATTTCAAAAACTGATTCTTATAGGTTCATCAGGATGTGGGGCTTCATTCTAGGCAAGATAATACTCCTTGTTCTTCGTATCTGGTATACATCGCTAAACCCAGTGTGGAGCTCACAAGCTGCCAATACTGTCATACTGACAATTGGTTTTATAGCAGCAGTGGAGCGAATTTACTCAGGTAAGCATATTACAGCAAAGATGGCAGTTATGAAAACATCCTAAGCTATACCTATCTATGTGTCACTGGGTTTTGATTATTGGGGTTTTTTTTTCCCCCAGTACAGTCTGTTTTTAGACCTGATGCATGAGCATTGCAGACTTTAGAAACCATGGGGTACTTCCCTCTGCCCATAACATGGCAGAACCGATATCACAATTCATACAAACTGTACTAAGTTGGTGTTGGAACTGACAACTAATTGCAATACCAATAATGTGAGAGTAATGCAAACAAAGGCATAACCTAGACCAATAAAACCAGAATGGGTTATCCTCATTCCAACATGAAACATCTGTGGTATTGTTTTATTTTCTTAGTTCAGTCTGCTCTTTGAGTTTCTCTGCCAGTGCAAATCTTTGACAGAGAAGGAGAGACAGGACAAAGCTGGGGAACAGCTGATGTGGCAAAATAATCTGAAAGAATTGGAAGAGCAGACAAGTTGTCCTGGTCAAAATTTGCCTGAGTTCTTGGAGTGCCTGGACAGAGTACACAGCAGTGGGGGCTGGCATAAGCTAAGCACACTTGCAGAGAGTAGTATTGTCAAGGAAGTTAGTTAAGGCAGCTCATGTTAAATCCTGAGAAGTTCCTTCCTTCTCAGTATAGCCTGAATGAGTTAATTGAAAGATAAGACCTTACCTATGTGTAAGTGGATATAAATTGGCATCATGTGTATTGTTTATAGACTTGCATTACATGACATAAATTAAGCCTGAGCTTTCAGCATAATTTAGAAAGGAAACCTACTGCAGGAGATTAGGAAAGCAATCTGTCCTCTTCCTAGGTGGCAAAGCAAAATGTCTGTGCAATTAAAGGTGCTGTTTTCTCCTTAGATGAGAGAAGAGCTAAAGTGCATGGAAAAAGACGAGAGGGAAAGGAGTTTATTTCTGGCTTCTTTGACAGTGTCAGGTTTTGCTCTTACCAGAGTTTAGAGTTTCAGAGAACAGAATCCTCTGAACAAATTCTAACAACTTTCCTACAAATTTAATTATTTAAATTCCAGTAGTATGAAGAATGATCATATGGGCAGGTTGCCATTTTTGTACATTTGAGGCAAGTAGCTTTTCCTGACAGACCTAGGAATGTTGTTAGAGATTTTTTGTTTTATCAGTTTCCATGAATGATCAGATAAGTTAGCTTTTGTGTTCGAGACACTAATGTATTTTGGTAATTTTGTGATCTTGGCTGTTTCTTTTTTCTCAGTAACCCTTTCTAATAGGAATTGACAGTTTGCTTAGATGTATTTCTATTGTTATTCTAGGTGGAGACAAGAGGAAACAAGAAACAAACAAAACTGGTAATGCAGTTAAAGAGACTGTTTTCCACTCTCATTGGCTTTTGTCAGGGATTGCTTTTGGCAGCCTCATGTTCCTCACCCTGTGGATATTTGGGGAGGTCTCACTGATTTCTAGATGGGCGGTAAGCGGACATCCATATACAGGTCCAGATCCTAATCCATATGGGTAAGTGTTTTTAAATTATATTTATTTAAACAAAGCAATAATCAAAAGCCAGTGCTGTAGTGGGTAACAAATTAAAAATCTACCAGATGATGGTATAAGAACTTACACAGAATAAAATGGGTACAAGATACTTCACACAGAGGACCTGTGGACTCAGTCTTGCTTTCAGATACCTCTGACCATTGTGTCTATACCAATAAATTTTAAAATTTTCTAATACAGCGTGATTTTTATTTCAGCAATAAAAAACTTGATTTGCCACATTGCAAAGCAATTCTTAAATTAGAACTTAGGTTCAAGGACTTATGAATGGAGTGCATCTATAACAGGCAGTAAATTACTCTAGCAGTTAACTTCAGAGATGAGATGGTAGGAAAGATTGTACATCAGAGATGCACACAGATAAAATAAGTAAACTGTGTGCAATATTAAAATGTATAATTCTGCAGAGGTTTTGATTACTAAGAATTTAGTCTTATTGCTGTGTGTTGCTCACTCAGGTTCCAAAATCTAGAAAGAGACCGGATTCATTATTACGTGTAGAGGCAGGTGAGGCAGTTAATAATTTGGAATGAATATACACAAGAGCTACTCAAGACGGAAAGTGTTGTTAGATGCTGTAGGATCCCCTCTTTAGTGTGAAGAAAATACTCCTGTTTGGGGTGGGTTCCTCACTCTCATTTACTCTGAGTTCTTTTTGCCTTTTCTATGCAGTATTTCAGTGGAGTGCTGCTGAACGTAGCTCTCTTATACGTTATGCTAAACTGCCATTATTTTCAACTGGATGTTTGATAAGTCCTGTAAAGGCAAGAAAATATAGAAGGGTGTGAGAGAAAGATATTTTGTGCTCAAGTTGAGCTCTGTTTACAATAAAAGGATTATAAAGTATTATCAAGCATCTTTCTCTCTATATCTAGAAGTTTTATTTTTTAAGGCCAGTTGTTTATAAAAATTATATTAATGTGTTATTTCTTTTTATTTTTTTGTTGTATTAGAGGTACGGTTCTGTTGAGCCTAGCTCATGGACTGATGCTTTCATTTTGGAGTTGGTCTTCTGTCACCAGTGTTGCCTGGTTTCTTGTAGGTAGGTGTAAACCCTGAGCAGAGTTGTTTCTATTACCTTATTCCTTTTACTCAAGCCTTCTGGCCCTATACCACATCTCAGAAAACTCAATTGCTAATCAAAACGGTTTTTTTCTCTGTCACTGACTGTAGTATACATACGTCTGACCAGTTGACTAAGGGTTACAAGCCAAATCTCCAGGCCATTGCACAGCAGTTTTGCTCTCCTCAGAAGCCCCCATTGAGGTTCTGTTCCCATGAGTAGGATCTTGGTTCTCACCATCTGCATTGTGTAAGGCTGCATTGAGGGTTATGGGGTTGAGATGATGCAAGCCTCTTGATTCTGCAGGAGGCACAATAACTTGTAATTTAATGAGCAGTTCACCTAGAGGCACACTTGCCTCCTGTCTCCTTAGCTGCCAAGATCTCCAGGCAGTAAAGTAGTATGAACATCAAAGCAGTTACGCTGGAGCAATATATTTGGGAGTCGGTGTGCATACAGTGGGTCTTGGGTGGTGGGAAGAGGGATTCAAGTGTTGGATCTGGACAGCCGTTTTCAGGTGGATGGTATAGCTATGCTGTGGAGCAAGCTATGCATGGAGCAAGTAGGAGGAGATGGAAATAATTCTTCTCTTGAATTATGTAGAGGTGTGTTTTCCATACCCTCTCAGCATGAATGGATGGAGGCAGCTTGGTTCAATTTGTACGCCCATTTGAGTGAAATTTAGTGGTATAAATACAGTTAAAAAAAACCCCAAAAAAACCAAAACAACAAAAAACCAACTCATAGATCTGCTTCTGTTTTTAGGTCTTAGCTAATTGTTTGTAGATGTTTATATCAAGAAGACAAAGCAGTACGTCCTACAAATGTTTAATAATAAATTGGGACATATCAAAATACAGAGACCAAAGGAAATGATAAGTTATGTTTTGCTATTTTTCTTACCTTCTCTTTTGGAGCATTTAAGAGCCAATACTTTCAAGTAATTTTGAATCACAACCTTGAAGACAATAAATTTAATGCAAACTGAGTTTCTTCTAGTCAGGAACCAAAATAAAGTATTAAATATCAGGAAAGTCACAATAAAGGCATAAGAGATGACAGTGCTTAAACTGTCAGTTGCCCAAATAATTTACCTTTTGGTGCAGGTGTTAGTTTTGAGAAATGTGTCTGCAGATTGTAATGTGAGTATTTGATTTTTTTATGTACGCACGTTGCTAATTTAAAACAAGTAGAGAATGGTTCTTTAGCTGATTCAAGCACTGTATTCTAAAATGCTCAGAACCTTGATGTATAAGGGTAAAAGATTAAAAATGTTTGTATACATTTGCTGTCATTATGTGAAAGTTGGTAAACATTTTCTTACCTACAGTAAAGATTTAAAATGAAGTTGTCCTGTTATAGGGAGCCTCTGTGGTTGTTAATGTTTTTTCTGGGGTCAAATCCCATCACAGTCAAAGACAGTGTAGTAAATCAAGGATCTTGCGATTAGTAAAAGATTAATAGTTGTTTTCTTGCTCATCATATTGGTTGTCTAAAAGAGATGATCAGGGAAAGATACGTTTTCTTTTCACATTAACCTATTTGATTATTTCTATATTATGCTAAAGGAGGTTCATAACAGGCAGACTTGTAAATCTTGTAAAAACTGCATCATCCCTCTGTTGTGCTGGGAGAGCTCTGTGTAAGAAAAACTGTTCAGTTTTGGCTCTTGAAGATATTTTTCTCCTGTCTTTTTGCTGCACTGTTTTCAGCTGAATAGGCGAGCTTTAAGAGAATGACATACTTGGAAAACTAAAAGGCTGTCTTTGACTATTGGGAATAACTGTCTTAGTGATGCAGTTCTCATGGCTGCAAAGCACAGTTGTAATTTTTTTTAGCTCTTTTTTTTTCCTAGACAGAATGGGGAAAAGGTTGCGGCAGATAATATACCTGACTGTGACTTACTCTGTTCTTTTCTATCCCTTCACAGGTTTAGCATCTTCGATCGGTCTCCTTTATTTACACACCTGGAGTGCTGCTGTTGCAGGCAATATTCTGGCTGTCTTTACCATGTGTGTGTGGCCTCAAGTGGCTGGATGCTTTGTTAGCTGTCTGCATCCTGGGAAAGTCATGAGTACAGCCATGTTTGCTTATGTTCTTGAATTATTCTTCTGTGTATGGTGTACAGCTTATAAATTTGTACCTGGAGGAATTTATATTAGAGAAAGCTCTCATCTTCTTTTAGGTATGTTTATGACTATGAACAAATACAAATATGCTTGCTTTAGCCTCAACCAGATGTTTAAAATGTATCTAGTATATAAATAGTCTTTCCAAATGCTCTGTTTGGTTTACTATGATAAGAGTTTCTATGAGAAATAGAACAGAGACGTGCAAAAAATAATCTATTTGTTTCTTTACTGTTAGAAATAGTTTAAAATGTGGACTCGAAATGGAATTCAGTTGAGGGAAAATGACGAAGTGAAAAAAAAAGTCTGATAATTCAGTACACAACTGAGGAAGAGATCTGTTAATCAGTCAACCTAAAAATATGGCTGCAATCTAGGGTGTGGATGCACCTGTATGACTGCTACCTAAGATAACAGTATGGTACTTCAGATAAACACCTGAGTTTCCAGAAACTACATTTTTATGAAGACTGTGTTACTGGGACTGTAACATAATCAGTGTATCATTTCACCCTGCTCTGAGGAGCAAAATGCAGCATCCTGCTGATCTAGCTTGTCTGCATTTGAGACCTGAGCTTGATTTCCATGTGGCTCTACCTTATACTTTGTGAACCCACCAGCATGTTCGGAGGAATCTTGATAAGCCTGCAGTGTCAGAAACATGCAAGCAGGAGAGAAAGAAAACAAATTGTCAGGTATTTGTCAGTTAGGAAAAACTGAGGTGAGCAATTATAAAATTTTTAGCAAAATGATCCCTTGATAAAGGTGGGGAGGTGGAAATAAAACCAACCCTTTCTGGTTTTGTCTCCAGAATTATATTCTTAGTAGGTACTAATGTGTCTTAATAGCATATTTCACTAATTGTATTTAAACAGTGTCAAACATTGTCTTAGGCTAAGTGTGTGGCATATTTTAAAATGTGACCCATTATCCTATGTTTTGTTTGAAAAGGATTAATGAATGCTGTGCTTGACTTGCTGGTCCAATGGTTGTGGATTTCCTAAATGTCTTTGCAACTACTTTCTGTCACTCCAGTTTCTTAGTCTCCATATGTGTTTCATATGTTACAGCCATCACATGCAGCATTTCAGTTTAGTATGTTTTGAAGAGAGTTCCTTTATTTGTTAAACCTTTATTGCAGTTTTCTTTGTTCTGAAAGCACTCTAGGGGTCCATAGAAACAGTTATCTCAATTAATTTAATTTTATTTTTTGAAGTTATATGAGGAAAGCATGTGGTAGAGGAGTGTCAAATGCTTTCCTGAGTTATGCTTTGACAAAAGAAAAGCTGTTATATAAAATCCCTCTCTGTCACTTCCTTTGAAATACACACTTGTGATTAATTCACCTGACATGATCACTGAATAGCAAAACAGATATGACCCGAACTTTCTCTTTGGTAAAAAGAAAACTGTGAACTGAACCCGTCTGAGCTGTTGACACTAGATGAGTTTATATCTCATCTGAGAATCCAGTTTCTTTCTTTTTGATGCCACCCTATTGCTTATCAAAGATTTGCTAATTATACCATGAGATTGTATATTTGTTGCTGTGCTTCTTCCTTTACAGCTTGGCTTTCTGGCAAACTGCTTGTTTTCTTCTGCTTTCTTTCAGGTGCAAGTGCTATTTCTTGCTTTCTCTTCCTGTTCAATATCCTGCCTTTCTCTTACCAGTTTGGGTAGGGAACTGCACCAGGAAAAGTGATTATAAAAGTAAGATCATTATATTCAAATCTTCTGTGCTACCTTACTGTGATGTAACATACTGCTTGGTCTTCCATCAACTTTCACAGCTTTGAATTAGTCTCCCTTTGAGAAAGGTTTTGTGTATGCTCCCTTCACTGCACTGGACTCAGCTTCCTGGTTTGCAAACTTTCACTGCAACTAATGTAGCAAGTAAGAGCAATAAGAAAATACTGAGTAATGGTTATTTTTATCTTCAGCTATAACTCTGAAATGAAACAAGACTTCTATAGTTAATTAACTCTTCCACAATGACATATACCATCTACAGCAGATCTCTTACCCATTTCATTATACTCCCACATTTTCTTTGCAGGTAATTGGATCCTTTAGTTCATAAGTGGTGGGAAAAGAGCTTGTACTATTGGTCTGAAAGATTGTACCTATCGACAAGATACCATCCCAGTGCAGTGCAACAGTTGCTTACTAGCTTTTAAAATGTATCTATGGTGTGTTTAGTTCTCTGTTCTTAAAAAGCACAGCTGCTAACAATGTATTTTTTTCATCAAGCTGTTATTTCAAGGTTCTGTAATATGTAGATATAACTTAATTGCTCTTGTCCAGGTTAATTCCTGCAAACTTTAAAAGCACTGGGCTGAACTGAGAGTTATAGCTGTGGATAGGGGCCTGGAAGCATTTCTGCATAATTTATTTACCATGTGCTGGCCTTTTTTTTGATGTAATACCCTGAAACTGTACTGCAAATCAACCTTTGCTTGAGAGAGCTGGCTAAGCATGCTTGAGATTTGTGGAAGTTGGTGTTAGGATACAGAAAGGTGGGGAGGTTTGCTGAAAGATTTGCTGATTTGCTACTTTGCCCCAGATCAAAGCATTAAAATATTTTTGTTTTTATTGTTCTCTCAATTGGTACATGAATGGGGGAGGGGAAAACATGGATTTAAACAAATATTTCAGTAGTAGCAAAAGCCTGATAAAAGATGCAGTAGTGGGACCCAGTAGTACCAGCAGAGTTATAATATCTGTGTGTTTCTGTAGTGAATAATGAGACAGGTTCTGAGGATTGCTCTGTTAGCACCCAATGCAGCTGATGCTGGGGACTACAAAATGATCCTTAGGCTGCTGCTAGGTTGCAATGGAAGAGCAGGAACAGCTGTAAGTTACATTAGAGTTAGTAGCCCATGTGGTGCTCATCCTGAAAGACCCAAAGGTGGACTGTATTTTGGAGCTCACTGTAGTTCAGAGTAGAGTTCATAAAGTGAAGGGGTTGGATACTGGTCTGCTCTTCAGTCATCAGCATAAAGCAGGCTTAATAAGGCTGCTTCAGGTGTATTAAATCTTAGCAGCAGCTGACTTGAAAAAAAAGCCAACAAACAATATTATTTTGAACTTCAATATTTTTGTGTGAAACAGGTGTTCACTAGCATTTAAAATAATCTTTTAGCTTTGAATTCTTATTGCAATCCTACTGTTTTGAAATGTTTATCATTAGTGGCATGTTTAATGTCACTAGCCTATTTTGTTGGAAGCAATGCTTGTGTCAATAAGGATAACAATGTAAATTAAAAATGTTTGAAGTGCTGCAGGCATAGGTGAGGTGAACACTGTGACAATGATGAGTAGGATCTTCTCTATTGATAAATCTCATATTGCCTGAATTACTACATTGAGTATGGCATTTATCTGTGTTTGTGCTTTGAACTGTCTTTGTTATTGGAGCCATATGGTTGAATGTAACACAACAGCTGGGAATTTATAAATGGTGCATTTATGAGCAATGTTCAATATGTTAATGCTCTATGAAAAAACTAATGACTTATATTTTTACAGGGTTTATCATGTTATGTATTGGGGTAGACTTTCTAACAGGACCCAAGAGAGACCTTAGCTCAGTCTTTGAAGTGAAAAGCGACCAAAAGCCATTATTCAAAAAAAGTAAAAACTATTTTAAACTACGTAAGTATGATTTTATCTCCTTTCTTCTGTGACCCTAGGAATGGTCTGAGGAAAAAGAGTAATACAGTGGTATTTTGCTCAGATGTTTTAGAAATGGTTGTTTGGTTCTAGTTTTAGAGCCAGACTTGTAGATGGTATTGCCCTAGTTCTAGTTTTAGTGATGACATATACTAACTGAGGAGCTGCTTCACTGTGATTATGGTTGAGAGAGGCTAGTTCTTATAGAATATATTAAATGGAGACCAAAAAAATGAATTGGGGGAAAAAAGAAAGTGTAAAAATGGATTTGGCATAATTTGTGACTTCATTTTGGCGGTTGAGAAGGACACCTCTCTGGGTCTTGGGGTTTATTGCGTGTGTATACAAAAGGTATGAATGATTTCTCAGCCAATTCAGTATATTGATTTTGAAGCAGTTCAGTGTGACACCCTTTATAAGGCTGTGTGAGCTGGATGGCAGTGGGATGGAACTCAGCTGGCCCAGGAGCTGCTGTATAATGTGACATACTTCCTGCATGAGGAGGCAAAGCCTGTTGTGATTGGCATCGCTACACAATTCTGATGCCCTGCTGCACGTTCAGACCATCCTATCCTCATTAATCCTTTGTCACCTCCTGCCTGTGAGCTATGCCTAGGGATCCAGCTTTCCAGATGTTTGAGTTTTTACCGCTTCTGGTGTTTAAACCTCTGGAATATCTCCACATGATGTTTTCAAGTATTTCTCTACAGTTGTTTTGGATTCAGATTTGTTTTCATTGTTAGCTTACTTTTTACTCTATATATTCTGAGGCTAGAAGAACGTGGCCCCTGAGAGTTTGTTTTAGAGGCAATGTGAGCACCAATGCAAGTGGTTTAAATATTACTACTTAGAAACATTTCACGGAAGTGAGTAAATACTTCAAAATACTGTCTGTCAGAAAGCATAGCCATTGCTCAGCTGATTTTGTGACATTACAACAGTAACTCTCTTATTTAATGCCCAGGCTTGTATTGTTTCTCAGCTTCTCCTTCAAGTACCTTTGCATCTTGCAGAGTATGAAATTGCTTGGTATTTAGTGATATAAACAGCATGCCCTTTCTTCGGACGTCATCCATGGTAAAATTTTACACAAAATTGTTCCAGAAAACTTGTATTACAATAATTACATATCTGTTTAAAAATTTGATGAAAGAATAAACTGAAATTAATGAAATCATGGTAGATATCATATGGCACTGTGTAAATGAAGTACCTGCAGAGGGGTTTGATCATCAAATTACAATGTGCCAAACTCTGAGTGCTTTTAATTGTCCACTGTGGTCATTTGGAAGGCTACAGGAGCAATGGAAAAGCTCTGAATATGCATTCTGTGGAGCCCCAGTGCCTTTCCAAGAATGTGTCAAACAAAGGACTGCTCTGGAGGTCTGGCAGGGATCTCATCTTTCTGGCAACTGAAGGCTTGTGAAGTAAACTAAATTTTCTGCTATGCATTGTATTAATACAAAATAAAAATTGTATACTACAAATGCATACCTGGAACACAGAAAGGAAAACACTGGAAGGCTTACATGATGCTCTTACCTCCTGTAATGAATTCTCCAATAGGTATTGTTTTTACACAAATATTCCAAGGAGTTTTGATGTATAATATCTGCTCAGCCTGTTGTGTTGCATACATTTATTCTGCACACATATAGATACTCTTTGGAACAGTGTTATCACTGGCATATATGTAAATGTAAATGTATACTTTTCCCATTCTATGAGTAGCACACCTTAGAATAACAGCATAGCCAGTTTTGTTTAGCTACAATAATAACATTTTCTCTTGCTTTAAGAAACAACTTTTCTGTGTTTCTCTCTTTCAAGTATTGTGGCTGTCTGTTGGTGTTGGTTTGCTAGGATTGGGTCTACGTTATAAAACTTACCAGAAGAAGTTAGGCCAAGGGGTGAGTAGTGTGTCTGTGAAAAAGGTGACATCCTTCCTGCATGAGGAGGCAGAGCCTGTTGTGGCTCACATCACTACACAGTTCTGACCCTCCGCTGCATGTTCAGACCAATTCTTTCCAATCTACAGTAAAATGCACGAATGGTATCTTAGGAGTGTTGGCTGGTGCTGAAGAAGCCTTTGTACAAGCATCCAAGTATGCAGCAACAATAATGCAGAAATGAAGATGCAAAAAGTTTAATTTAAAAATTCATGTTGAACGTGGGAAATGTCTGGGTCTTTGGAGATTTGTAGTGCTGCTATGAAGGAAAAAAATATTCTGAAAACCTGAGAGATGCTTGCCTCATACATTCAATTTGAATGTTACTTTTATAAATGAGTTTATTTGAATCATATTCAAAACTTGACTGGACAATGCTGTTAGCAGCCAGATCTTATATCAGGGAAGTTTGAACAGATAACTCTTGAGGTTCCTTCCAGCTGAAGGAATTCTATCTATGAAATTTATGAAATATAACTTAAGAGCTACATCATCCTGCTAACACTGCTTAATGTCGTTTGGCAGGTATTCTGCATCTCTTTAACAAGATATGTATATACACAAGTCTGAACTAAGCCTTTTTGAAAAGTTGGTTGGTTAGACTGGTTACAGAAATTGGATAAAAATAGGAAGATTGCATTTTTCTCTCTGGCAAAAAAAATAGGTATTGCATGATAGTAACAATTAAGATGCCTAATGTTCTCAAAGTTTAGCATTTAGATTGCTTACAAGTTGTCTGAGCATGTTGCTTGCATATTTAGTAATTTTAACTCAAAATTAGAGCTGTTTTGATCAGATATAAATTAACATATTTCCATTCTGTGATGTAATTGATTACTAAGATACAATTGATGCAGGTGGTTGCAATTATGAATTAGATTTTTTTCTTTTGGTGGCAGTTTGGAACTAGTCCTTTGAAACTTGCTCTTGACATGTATTCCTGTTGGTAATTTTTTTATTAGAGAAATCACTGATGACAAATGCAGGAAAAGATGCAGAAATGGTGATGAGAGCCAAGTAGGAATTGTGTGTCTGAGTGTGTGTGCATGCACATGCGTATATTGACACATGCATACAGCCATTTAAAGTTGGCTTTCTTTTTAGAACTCATCCAGGTCTGTAGTACCTTATAATGTGGAAGAAAGTGCATAGTTCCTCTTAGATGAAAAAAATTATAGTATCTTTCATATTCATTTATTACAGTTACTTGCCCAAATTCACTTTAACTATGATGATTTTCCTCCTCTTGTTAATAGCAGATTTTTCTCCAGAATGCCTAAAGTCTTCTGTAATCCTGACAGCTTTGTTAGGAAAGTATATTGGTTAAAACATCTCTTCTTGTTTGTCTTTTTTGGCACCATGTATCTTATGTTGTTGACTGCAGAGGTATAACACACAAAAGTCAAAACTTTTTTCCATTTATTTTTTTGAGGTTCCAAAAAGAGACTTCTCTGCTATGATCTGGCCTTTTAGATTTGCATATGACAATGAAGGATGGTCTAATTTGGAAGGATCAGCTAATTTGCTTAATCAGACAGGTAATGTTTTTTTCCACTTCATTTATATTTGAAAGGGTTCATCTGAAGAGAGACAGAAGCAAGAATACCTGCTGGGTAACTGAGTCCATTCTTGCATGAACACAAGAACCTGTGTCTAATGGCTTTCTCCTGAATTTGTGAACTGTTCCAATACAATGACTTCTGTTAAAAATCCATTTGCAGAGGTGATAATTCTAAAAAATATGTTTTCAAAGAAGTTTCTGATTGGAAGAAAGACTTTGGTTAGTATTTGGATTTTTTTCTCATATTCCTGATGAGTTACTTGTCTATAGAGAAATTCTTTGTATAAATGAAATAACGATAAATAACCTTTTAGATAAAATTTGATGTTTTATAACTTCTCTTCTTAGATGTGAAGCATTATATAATTCCTAAAGGGTCTGAAATTAAAACGTCCTAAACAAGGTGCACAGAGGAGTTACAGACAAGACTGTTCCCATCACTGAGCCAGAGCAATGTGTAAGAGAAAAATGATTGTAGCTTGGTTGAGTTATCATGACTGTACTGTAAAGAAAGGTCTCCAACCTGTTTCTCACCGACAGGGTTTTGGTTGGAAAATTAGCTATAGGAAATGAAGAATTTGGACTAAAGATTAGTGGTGCAGCAGGGTGCATTGAAAGGAATTGACCAGAGGTGCTTGTAGTTGTTACTTGTTACCTGCAATATCAATGAGACAGAAAAGACTGGAAGCTGCTGCTTTAAGATTTAAAGCAGCTCAGGAGATTAAGGCTAGGAAGCATCCAGGCTGCCATTCCAGTACTTGTTGTTCTCCTCTTCTTCTCTGGTGTGATTGCACCACGTGACTTTCCTGAGCAGCTCAGGTACCTTTATTTCTGGTACCTATAGTTTAGATTCATGAATATTAGAAAAAGTGATTTACCCAGTTATGTCCATTGAGCATTTCTTTGTGGTAATGAAGTATCACTTCTGAAAAAAGCAATTGGTAAGTCAAAGAGGCAGCAAATTCTGAAATATAAATGAATAAATCTTAACTCCTGATTGCTAGAAACAGTATTCTGGTGTTTTATGTTACATGTATGTTTTATGTTACATGGAGTTTTATGTTACAGGCCTTGTGGGCAATGTGAGGGTTGGAGGGTGCCTGGGAAACAGCGACCATGAGATGGCGGAATTCTCAGTGCTAGGAGAGGTGAAGAGGGCGGCCAGCAGAATGGCCACCCTGGACTTCCGGAGGGCTGACTTTGAACTGTTCAGGAAGTCGGTCAATGAGATCCCTTGGGAGACAGTCCTTGGGGGCAAGGGTGCCCAAGAGGGCTGGGAGGTCCTCAAGAAGGTAATCTTGACAGCACAAGAGCGAGCTGTCCCTGTGTCTCGGAAATCGAGTCGGTGGGGAAAGAACCCGGCTTGGTTAAACAGCGATATGCGGGTGCACATTAAGAGAAAGAAGGAAGCCTACAAATCTTGGAAGAAGGGGCAAGCAACTTTAAAAAACTACAAGGATGAAGTGAAATTATGCAGGGAGAAAATCAGAAAGGCCAAAGCCCAACTTGAACTCAGATTGGCCAGTTCAGTGAAAGACAAT